GCAGTGGAAGACTTGGTAAAGGTAGGAATAGATGATAAGAACCCGGATAAGTTCTTTTTGCTCGGTTCGTCGTTGTCTAGCACTGAGAGATTAGAGGTCTTGGAATTCCTGACCTCTAACATCAAAGTGTTCGCCTGGACGCCGTACGACATGCCAGGCATCGATCCAAACTTCATCTGTACCAACTCAATGTCCACCCATCCGCCAGACCAATCATTCAGCGCACTCGCAGATCGGCACTCTACCACGCCGAAATAGTGGCAGAAGAAGTGGGAAATCTACTAGAGGTAGGAGCTATCAGAGAGGTGCACTACCCCAGATGGATTTCCAACACGGTCGTGGTGCCAAAAAAGAATGGCAAATGGCATGTTTGCGTCGATTATAAGACAGTCAACAAAGCATGCCCAAAGGACAGCTTCCCCCTACCACGGATAGATCAACTGGTAGACCTGACGGCGGGGCACAACCGACTTAGCTTTCTGGATGCGTACAAAGGCTACCATCAGATTGCCATGTACGAACCAGACCAGGAGGTCACGTCCTTTACCACTCCAAGAGGACTGTATTGCTATAAGGTCATGCCCTTTGGCCTAAAGAACACAGGGGCAACATTCCAGAGAATGGTCACCAAGATGTTTGAGCCGTTGTTAGGAAGAACAATGGAGGCTTACATCGACGACATGATGGTCAAGAGTAAGGATGAGAATGACCATCTAAGGGACCTAGGTGAGATGTTCCAGATTCTGAAGAAGCACAAGTTGTGCCTTAATGCATCCAAGTGCGTGTTCGGTATAGGATCTGGCAAATTCCTAGGCTTCCTAGTAACCAACCGGGGTATTGAGGCAGACCCCTCCCAGATCAAAGCTACTCAGAATCTAGAGAGGCCTAACTCAGTACAAGAAGTGCAGCATCTCACCGGCATGGCAGCTGCACTCAACCGATTCATTAGCCGGTCGTCAGACAGACTACGACCATTTTTTCAAGCGTTAAAAGCCAAGTTCAAATGGGACGAAGAATGCGACAGCGCTCTGGAAAGCTTGAAAGAATATATGTCTTCTCCACCACTACTGGTCACCCCAATACCTGGAGAAGAACTCTTCCTATACCTGGCGGTCTCTCAGCACGCAATTAGCGCGGTGTTGGTCCGTACGGAAGGAATCCAACATCTGCCCATATATTATGTCAGCAAGACATTGCTGGATGCCGAAACAAGGTATTTGCCACTAGAAAAGCTGGCCTTAGACTTAATGATGGCATCAAGGAAGTTGTCGCACTACTTTCACGCCCACACCATAGTTGTCCTCACAGCTTTCCCATTAAAAGCTCTGTTTGAAAGAGCGAACTTTTCTGGGAGAATCTTGAAGTGGGCAGTAAAGTTGGGACAATTCGACATCAAGTTCCAACTCAGAACCGCGATAAAGGCCCAAGCCTTGGCAAACTTTGTCGCAAAATTTACTCCAGGAAGTCATCATATCTGCCCGGTCGACCTGACTGACATAACCGAACTAGGGGTAGAAATTGACGCCAGAATAGCTCAACCCCTGGTACAGGATACTCAATCAGACCCCATGGCAGACCAGAGTAAAAACAACAAGGAAGAAGCGAACCAAGCTACACCAAGCCAAGACTCACCAACAAATAAAGACTTGGTACAATCAGATAGCGAGGGGCAAACAGCAAACATGGACCTTGAAGAAAATACCAGCAACATTCTTGACCCCACGACATCATCTGACCCCTCCACTTGCTGGAAATTATTCGTTGGTGAGATGTGGAAGCTCTTTGTGGATGGAGCATCCAACCGGCATGGTGCAGGACTTGGCATAGTCTTCATCTCACCAGACGGCCTGGTTGTAGAGCAAGCAATCAACCTTGGCTTCCCAGGATCAAACAACGAAGCGGAGTATGAAGCACTTCTTGCAGGACTCAAATCAGTATTCTACATGAAGGCCACCGAACTAATGGTCTACAGCGACTCACAGCTAGTGGTAAACCATATTTCTAGCAACTATGAAGCAAAGGATGACAGGATGGCCAAGTACTAAGAATTGGTCATAACAGAAATCAAGAAATTTGAAGTAATAAGGATAGAACAGATTGGCAGGGAGGAAAACAGCAGAGCAGACGAACTAGTAGGTTTTGCGTCAATGGCAGATACATCCATCCCTCGCCCACTACTAATTGATTACCTACCAAGACCAAGCATTGAGGACCCCAAAGTAGAAGAGGTATGTTGCGCCGAATTAGGCCTCTCATGGATGGATCCCATCATACTGTTCTTAAAAGACGGCGTCTTACCGGAAGACAAAAAAGAAGCCAACAAAATTAGAGCAAAGTCACAACGATTTTGGCTCTCCCCATCTATGGCATTGTACAAAAAGTCATTCTCAGGACCTTATCTAAAGTGTGTCCACCCCAGTAAAGTAGAAGCATTCTTGTTCGAAATACATGACGGGGTGTGCGGAAGCCACCAATGAGGGAGATCGTTAGCCTACAGAGCCATTTCACAAGGATACTGGTGGCCATACATGCAAGCAAACTCAGAAAAATATGTGAAGAAGTGCGAGAAATGTCAGAAGTTCGCACATCAAATACATCAGCCGGCCAGAGAACTCCTACCATTGACCAGCCCATGGCCCTTTGCAATGTGGGGCTTGGACATAGTAGGACCACTTCCAACAGCGCCCGAAAACAAGAAGTTCTTTCTCGCAATAACAGACTGCTTCACAAAGTGGGTGGAAGCAGAAGCATTGGCATCAATCAAGGAAAAAGATGTGAAGAAGTTCGTCTGGCAGAATATCATTACTCGATTCGGCATACCTAAAGCCCTAATATCAGACAACGGCACCCAGTTTGATGGCAGAATCTTTAGAGGCTTTTGTGAAGAATACAAAATAGAGTTCTACAATTCTACACCAGCATATCCCCAAGCCAACGGCCAGGCAGAAGCATCAAACAAGGTCATCTTGGATGGACTGAAGAAAAGGTTAGAGAAGGCAAAAAGCAAATGGGCGGAGGAACTTCCTCATGTTTTATGGGCTTACCGCACCACACCTCGACGATCAACAGGAGAAACACCATTCTCCTTAGCCTACGGCATGGAAGCAGTAATCCTACTGGAAGTTGGCTTCCCCACAATTAGAAGCGAAAATTTTGATCCAGACTTGAATGGAGAGGCCATAGCATTAGAACTCGACCTCGCCGAAGAAAGAAGAGAAAAAGCATTGGTTCACATTGCCTCATACCAACAAGAGTTATCTAGGAAATACAACAAAACAGTACATCCAAGGCAATTCAAGATCGGAGATTGGGTGCTGCGCAAAGTGATGGGAAACACCTTAGTACTAGAAGATGGCAAGTTAGGGCCTAATTGGGAAGGACCTTACAAAGTGGTCGGGTTAGCTGGTAAAGGGGCATACCACCTAGAAGACGAGGACAGCAAAGCCATTCCTAGGCCATGGAACACTGACAATCTCAAACTATTTTATTTTTAGCTTTTCTTCAAAATGCTTGTAATTTTCTTTTTTTCCCAATAAAACAAGTAGTTTTCTTTTCAACATAAGAAGTTTTATTCTGTAAAAATTGTTTTAGTGAGTTAAGGGTATTGAAAACATGGTTGGCTGGAAAAACCAACACTCTTCCTAAGCCTAGGATAAGGATCCAGGCTGCAGGACGTTTTGGTCGGAATAACCAAACACTTTACTTTAGGTTGGCCGGAAAAACCAATCTAAAGGTTGGCTGGAAAAACCAACACTCTTCCTAAGCCTAGGATAAGGATCCAAGCTGCATGACGTTTTGGTCAGAATAACCAAACACTTTACTTTAGGTTGGCCGGAAAAACCAATCTAAAGGTTGGCTAGAAAAACCAACACTCTTCCTAAGCCTAGGATAAGGATCCAAGCTGCAGGATGTTTGGTCGGAACAACCAAACACTTTACTTTAGGTTGGCTGGAAAAACCAATCTAAAGGTTGGCTGGAAAAATCAACACCCCTCCTAAGCCCAGGATAAGGATCCAGGCTGCAGGACGTTTGGTCGGAATAACCAAACATTTTATTCTAAATTGGCAGAAATAACCAATTTAGAGGTTAGCTGGATTAAACTAACTATTGTACTCTTTAGCCGAAGAACAGGACATCGGCTAAAGAGTGGTTGGCTGGATTAAACTAACTCTTAGTACTCTTTAGCCGAAGAAGAGGACATTGGCTAAAAAGTAGTTGGCTAGACTAAACTAACTCTTGTACTCTATAGCCGAAGAAAAGGACATTGGCTAAAGAGTGGTTGGCTGGATTAAACCAACTCTTAGTACTCTTTAGCCGAAGTAAGGACATCAGCTAAAGAGTGGTTGGTTGGATTAAACCAACTCTTAGTACTCTTTAGCCGAAGTAAGGACATCGGCTAAGGCTGGACTAAACCAATTCCTAGTACTCTTTAGCCGAAGTAAGGACATCGGCTAAAGAGTGGTTGGCTGGACTAAATCAACTCCTACTACTCTTTAGCCGAAGTAAGGACATCGGCTAAAGAGTAGTTGGTTGGAAAAAAACCAACTTAGAGGTTGGCTGAATTAAACTCTTATTACTCTTCAGCCAAAGTAAGGGTATAGGCTAGTGGTTGACTGGATTAAACCACTCTTGGTACTCTTCAGCCGAAGTGAGTATATCGGCAAAAGAGTGGTTGGCTAGTAAGCTCAGTCAGATTGCTCAGCTAAGGCCGGAATAAAATATCTCGGCCGAAAAATATTATGTTTCGTTCAAGTTGCAGTTAGAAAGCAAGCATAAACAGGAAAGTAAACCGAGATAACAGTTGGAGCAAAAGAATTCATTGAAAAACACATTACAAGTGCAAGCATACAAATCAAACCAGAATAAGTGTTGAAAACAAAAGATGATTTTCATTGATCAAATTCAAAGCAAAATACAAAGGAGGGGCCTCAACCCAGTTACAAGACCAAAAGGAAAGAAGAAAATACTGAAAACCAACAACAAGAAAAGAAAGTACAGAATCAGTTGAACAGATCATCAAGATCAGCATCAATGTCAACACGAAGACCGGTTTCAGAGAATAGATCGATCGTGGTTGGGAGCTCGGTGTCTATTGGAAGCACGGTTTCAGCCATCAGGTCTTCAACCGTTGGCTCCAACTGAGCTGATTGATCGTTGGCCTGATCATTGACGACCGGGGTATTATTGGTCTCGGTGTCTTCATCATCATCTGAACCCTCAAGAAACTGTTGTTGGACGGATGCAGCATACTCCGCCAGTGAGCTCGGTATGAAGTACTGAGGAGGATTGTAGACCTCGGTCTCAGGTCCACAACCGAGCTGCACCACGGCTGCCCTCCAACCGCATTTAAAGAAAAGATCTTTAGCAGCCTCACATTGTCGCATGTAGAGGGCCTCCCCCTCCTTGAAACCTTCAGCATTTGCATTAGCCGCCTTTTTCTTTAGCTCGGCGATCTCTGCGTTTTTCTTACCTTCGAGCTTGGCTAGCTCACGCAGATATTTGTCTTTGATCAAGGCTGTAGCTTTTTGTTTTTCTGCTTCAACCGCGCTAACAAGACCGGCCAGACGACCGTTCTCGGATTTTAGCTCGGCTAGCTGCTTCCTAGCCTCTTCTAGCTCTGCAGTTTTTTCTGTCACTTCGGCCAGCGCTTGCCTTGTAGTCTTGCGAAGTTCAAGCACTCGCTTGTGAGCGATATGGCTCTTCTGCATAGCCTGCAAAAAGAGGGGGAGACTTGTAATCAAACCGAGATAAAAGTCATGCAAATTAAAAAGATCAATAGAAAAAGCTACTTACAAGCACCATGGACTTCGTGGCCGAACGAATGGCCCTTAGTTCAGTCAGGTGCTGGTGGTGCTCCATGTCTGCTGGAAGGCAGACACTCTTGGCAAGGTTAAATGCCATTAAGTGATCTTTTTCAGTGACCACTGAGTCTGTGTCCTGAATATCACGGTTTTGAAAAGTAAGTTTGGGTGCCCACTTGGAGGAGCTGGCTTGGTCGGAGTGCTCTGGCTGAGGGCTCAGTGGAAGAGTGATTTCATCTTCATCAACAGGGCTCGGTTTGGGTAGTCCGGGCACTCTTGCTGGGGCGAGATGAGAAAGGTTGTTGAGATGGAAGAGCCACCACGGTCTCTTGAGTCTGGGTGGTTGGTGGTACTTCGGCTGGATGTGTTTCGGTTAGGAGGGCCCTCACTCTGTTCCTCTTCGCCATTTCTTCTTCAACTGTAGTACGGACTAGGATGATTTGTGGCAAGGTCGGGTCCAGTTCAGGAGAGGCCTCTAGCAAAAAATCTGTTACTCTGGCTTTTCGACGGCTGCTATATCTATACGTCGGCTCAAAATTCAGTAACTTGGCCCAATTTCTTTTAGGGTATCGTAGTGCGGCGCGAAGTGTGTTTAAGTTAGGGTAACTATATAGTGACTTGAGGTGGGCTGAGTCTGCATAAAGAAGACAACTGTCAGTTCGATTCAAGAACACAAAACCGAAATAAAAAGAAGCATGCAATAGAGCCGAGGTAATTATACCGGTGGTCCCTTTATTCCAGTTTATTCGGTCACCAGGAATCTGGGCTTCTTGGTCTTCAAAGTTGCCAGAAACCCAGAAGAAATCATTATCGTTCAAGTCTTTATCCGGTGTGTCCGTTATTATTTTCTCTCGACGACGGCGTATCCTTAGATAATAGACCCAGCCATCTTCTTTTGATCCTATTGAATATTGATGAAAGAGTTCGGCTAAGCCGAGGTTAATGCCAGCTCGGCGGTTTAGCTCGGCTATACCATTTATTATGCAGTATGAGTTTGTGGAAAGCTGAGTTGGGCATATCCTAGTTTGCCTAAGGAATTCACAAAGTAAGGGATGTACAGGGAATCTTAGGCCGGTTTCTACAATGGAAAAGAGGGTGAAGGGAACAAAACCAGGGTTTCTCCAAGGTACGATGTCTTGTTCAGCTAAGGTGAGTTGGACGTCGTCAGGAATGTTATATTCCCTTCGGAATTCGGCCAGGCCACCAGGTGTTTCTACTAAAAACCTATATTTACCTATTTACTCTTAAGTTATGTATAATTTTACTGTGATAGCTCGGTTAAAAAATGACGCTGAGTAGCTCGGTTGAGCGTGCAAAGGAGTGTCTGGCAACCTAAGTCTGCAAAGTGAAAAAAGAAAGGGGTTATGCACAGATCGATGGACCGTGCGAAAAAGAAATCAAGGTAAAATAAATGAAGTCCTATCTCGGTTATACGGGTGTTAGCTCGGTTTCAGCAAGGGGTCTGTTAGCTCGATTTGAGCAAGGCATTTGTTAGCCCAGTTGAGCCTCAAGGGGCAGCTTTCTTAGTTCGGTCTGAACTTGGAAGGCTGGTTTAGCCCCTAAGTTCAGCTCGAGCGTAGTTAAGATTTTCAAGGCTTGACTTGTTAGAACTACAAATATAGCAAAGTTAGCTCGGTTGGTTGGTCCGGCTAGATTAACATCAACTACAAACGACTTTTTAGTTCGGTTATACTATGATTTTGGATCAAAATCAGTATTTTTTCGGTTTATTCGTGACAAGCTAGAAGTTTTATTACACGAAATAAGGGAATATGTTTTGAAAAAACACACAAAATACATGTATTGTGAAAGCAAATACGACAAACAACAAAAACAAGGTAGGTTTGAGTAAGCTTACCAGGACAAGGAAAGATGAGAGTAACGGCAGCACAACCACAAAGCTTCTTCGAAAACAGATCGAAGAACTCAGCAAGCTCAAAAGCTCAGGAACGAGAGGGAGAGAAGAGGAAGTGAATAAGTGCAGTGCTTTGATCCAAAATGAAGAGTTTTTGTTTTGATACAATGGGATAAAGGCGGGAACTGTTTAAATTACGCGAGGTACGAGGGCGGCGTGACAGCTGCCTTTAGCCAATCAGAGCGTGCCACGTGTCATTGAAATGAGAATTGATTCAGTTGCTGTGATTGAAATGACGTTTTGACCGGACAAGCTGAGCCCGGTATGGAATTTAGTTCGGCTGAAGAGCTTAAGAGTTTTTAACTCGGCTGGAAGGACTAAAGGGGTTTAGTTCGGCTGAAAATGCATAAACTTTTTTAGCTCGGCTGAAAATGCAGAAACTTTTTTAGCTCGGCTGGGTACAGGTAATCCCTATCATGCTCTGCAGATGGAATTAAGGGGCAATTGAGAAGGTAATTTATATGAAAATTGGGCCGAGCTGGGTAATGGGCCGTTATGGGCCATAGTGCGAAGGGCTGAGTAAAAAGGCCATGAAGTTACTCCAGCCCAAGAGAGGTGTAAAGTTATTCCGGCTCAAGAGAGACGTAAAGTTACTCCGGTCCCGAGGAGGTTAGCTCGGTCACCGTATTAAAACTTATACCGGTTATGGCACAGTACGGTTAGCTCGGTCTAAACCTTGCTAAAAGTTAGTTCGGTTTAGACTTACCACGGTTTGTACAGGAGGAACTGAGGCAAGGGCAATAAAAGAATGAACCGAACTAAGGATAGTTCGGTCTGTTCTACAGCTAAGCATAGCCATGCGTACCTCGGCCACATTGGAGTCCGACCATGGTAAAACCATCTCACTTGGTTTAAACAGTGAGGGGGGTGTTGAAGGATAGGTATTATCTTTCAGGAGTATGAATCTTAGGAGGAGTAAGAGTCCTACTTGGATTGTGCCACACGGAACCTATAAAAGCTCACAAACATCACCTATGGAGAGGTAACACAACTTTGATACACAGAGCTTCTTGTCTTTGTCTATTTTTCTGACTTAGGCATCGGAGGGGTTTCCGGCACACACCCGCCGACTAGCTCACGTTTGTGTTTTCAGGGAGTAAAGCGACGACGTTTGGAGGAGCGCAGACTTGATCAACAGGATTATACGAGAAGGTTTATTTCTTTTCCGTACAATTTTAATAATCTTATTATAAAGAGTGGTGTTACATGCACCACTTAGTATATTAACTAATGTACAACATTGGTTATGACTTTATTATTGACTCTACTCATTATACAAATTATAAATACCAAAAATATCTTAAATTGTGTCACATCATCAATTGACACATTAATTAGTGCATTAGCCTATTACAAATCTTATTATAAGATTTTTAATACAAAGAATTTAAATTTTAAATTTTTATTTTTATTACACAATGGGTTGCTAAATGTATATGATTATGATCTAATGTATTGCAATTGGGAGGAGAAAATCAAAATAAAACTAAACTCAAATATGTGTCACGTCAGCTTTACAATATAGAGCCAGAAAATTATATCGTAATTCAAAGGCACAACGTGACTTTATTCTTGACCAATCACAATTTATTATATCTCTTGTTGTTCTTTGATACACAGAGCTTCTTGTCTTTGTCTATTTTTCTGACTTAGGCATCGGAGGGGTTTCCGGCACACACCCGCCGACTAGCTCACGTTTGTGTTTTCAGGGAGTAAAGCGACGACGTTTGGAGGAGCGCAGACTCGATCAACAGGATTATACGAGAAGGTTTATTTCTTTTCCGTACAATATTAATAATCTTATTATAAAGAGTGGTGTTACATGCACCACTTAGTATATTAACTAATGTACAACATTGGTTATGACTTTATTATTGACTCAACTCATTATACAAATTATAAATATCAAAAATATCTTAAATTGTGTCACATCATCAATTGACACATTAATTAGTGCATTAGCCTATTACAAATCTTATTATAAGATTTTTAATACAAAGAATTTAAATTTTAAATTTTTATTTTTATTACACAATGGGTTGCTAAATGTATATGATTATGATCTAATGTATTGCAATTGGGAGGAGAAAATCAAAATAAAACTAAACTCAAATATGTGTCACGTCAGCTTTACAATATAGAGCCAGAAAATTATATCGTAATTCAAAGGCACAACGTGACTTTATTCTTGACCAATCACAATTTATTATATCTCTTGTTGTTCTTCAATCATCTAACATGAAATTATAAATCTTACATTTTTCACCAATCACAACTCACTCAAAATATCACGTGACCGCACCCTAAAACCACCAAATAACTTCTCCATAGAGTCGCAATCAATTAGGTATATATAGCTGTAACAAATTTGTATAAATTGGCAATCACAACAATTAACACATTTGTAAGTCATTGAGAAGGCATCTGCTTACAAAACGACAGTATATTAGGTTTTAATTGTCATCAATCATAGTCAAAGTCTGCACATTTTAACAAACTTGTCAAAAATTAGTAATAATTTTTTGTTCTTTATTTCCACAAAATAATAATAATTTGTTTCTATAAAATGTTTACTTGGTTACAAAATCTGTTTTTTAAATGTTCATTTAATCTCCTTTTTTTAATAAAAAATATTTTACAAGCTAACAACTATTTTTTACTAACAGAGTCATGCAAAAATAAAGATTCACTTGAATAATATAATTTTAGCAACTCATATTAATGAGAAAATTTTATAAATTTTATTTATTTATGTAACTTTTTTTGTGTGTGTGTGTGTGCGCACATAACTTGTGAATCTACTCTTACTTACAATTTACTCTTGCTATATATAAAATTTATTTATATAACATTTTTTTTGTTTAACTTGTGAATCTACTATTGCTTAAGTTTACTCTTGATGAGAAAAAAAACACACAATAAATATTAATCATAAACAATAAAACACAACATACAAATTTATATGATTTGATAAGATTGTTTACATTTGTGGCTCTTATCAGTTTTATTATACTAATGCTGTGTTTGGTTGGGAAATTTGGAAAGAAAAATGAAAAAAATAGGTGAAATGAGAATAAAATATGCCTAAATTTCACATAATTTCACACACCTTTTCTCTTTTCCTTTCCAAATCCCTCCTCAAATCCTCTAACCAAACACAACATAAAAGAAGAGAATAGTACGGCTCAGGCCCGAATGCTGACCTTCAAAGTTGGATTTGCGACTGTGTAATGAAGTGTAAAGTACTA